CAGATTTTTAGTTGAGAATGGGAAACTCGAGGAGGAGCACTTTCATGTATTCATAAAATAAAGATATGTCTACGCTATCTCGGTGACCCTGGATATCAACAAGGTATTGGTCAGGAACTTGGTGTTAATCAAGCAACGATATCTAGGACTGTGGATAGAGTTGTGAACAGCACAGTTGCACAGTCGAACGAATGGATCAAGTTTCCAACTACCAACCATAAACTGATGAAGGCCAAGCGGATATGGCAAAGCATGTATAAATTTCCGACAGCAATTGGTGTAATTGATTGTACATATATAGCAATCCTGAAACCAAATCGCCATGGAGATGAGTATATCAACCGAAAAGGGAAACCTACTTTAAATGTGCAAACCACTTATGATGCCAAAGAGATATTCACAAGTGTTGATATCAGTTGGCCTGGATCAGTGCATGATTCCAGAATATAATAATAATAATAATAATCGCTTTATTGACCAAAAACATGGTACATTACATGGAGCGAGATTTAGCACCTGCTATTCCACCATCTAAATTCACAGACTAGATCACATCTAATAAATAAAACAAATGTTATACTACTTGCTGATGACGGTTATGGTATTGAGCCATGCCTTATGACTCCCTTCAGAAATCCTACTCCAGGTGCAGAAATAAATTATAATAAGCTTTTAAAACAAGAAAGAGTTTGAGTTAATTGAACGTTGTTTCGGCCAACTGAAACGCCGGTTTCCTAACCTACAGTATGTTTGCCGCGTAAAGTTGAAAAATGTGCCATAAATAATTATTGCTTGTATTGTACTCCATAATGTTGCGAACAGCTTGGGCGATCCTGACTTTGAGTTAGTTGAACAAGACCCAGAAGATGAAGGAAATCGCGAGAATGACGAACTTCCTCTCCGCCAACTAGGTCAACAAATAAGAAGAAACTTGAGTATTATAATAAATAGTTTTACTGACTAAAGTGTATTTATAAGTTATAATAAGTTTTATTTTCGTGAACATCATAAGTTACAGGTGGCTTCTGATGCTGCATCATTTCTAATTTCGTTTTATCCTGTTGTAAAATACTTGTTTGGTACTGTTGTAATAGCACTAGACGTTGCAGTTCTTTTGTAGTTATCTCTTTGTTTCCTCAGTTTCATATTTCTCTGTGGCTAATTTTTTTTTGGTGGCAATGTCTTCTGAGTTGCTGGCGCTGTAATACGAGGGATGTCCTTTAAGTTTTGCATATGGAAATAAAACAACACGGTAGGTAGTTTTAAATGACTTTATTGTTTTCGAAGTATTCTTCACGAAGATTAACATACATCTGCATGCGCTCGAACCAATTTTCGAAGCACTTATTCCACTCGTTTGCTGGCAGATCTAAAACGGCATTTTTGAATGCGTCAACTGCTTCTTCTGGTGACTGGAACCTTTGACCACGAAGTCTGTTTTTAATTTTCAGGAAAGTAAATAAATCTTTAGGACTTAGATCGGGACTATACGGAGGATTGTCCAATAATTCCACGTTTTACTCCGTTAAATACTGAATTGTTTTTTGGGCTGTGTGCGAGCTTGCACTGCCTTGGTGGAGGATGATTCTTCTTTCGGGGTTGATTTTTCGAAGCTCGGTGATGACTTTTGGTAGACAAATGGTGGTATACCAATCCGCAGTAACAGTTCTTTGCTCATTAAGAGGAATTGTTGGAATATGACCCGCTTTTGACACAAATGTCGCGACCATCTTTTTCGAAACACTTCGAGAACGGATGACTTTTGTTGGCTTTTCTTCACCTTGGAACACCCAAACAGCCGACTGTCGTTTATTTTCTGGTTCATAACAGTAAATCCACGATTCATCACCACTAACAATGCTGTACACATTTTTTAGTTTCCGGAATTGAAACGGTCAAGCGTTTTTTGACACCAATTAACCCTGGCTGCTTTCTGCTCTTCAGCCAACAGGTAGGGTATCCAACGAGGAACTAATTTTCTTACTCCTAATTCTTAATGTAAAATTTTGTCACATGTCTATCTTCAATGAGGAGTTTGCGCACAGCATCGACGTTTTCCTGGGTGACTGCCGTTTTTGATGCACCCACCCTGGAATCGTCGCTAAGACTCACCCGTCACGTTTGAATTCTCCATACCAACGGGAAATTGTCGACTGATGTGGCGCTCCGTTGCCGAAAACAGACAGTAACTCAGCAAGGCATTCTTGTTGTGGTAGTTGTCTCTGAAAGTTGTAATAAATTATGGCGCGAAAATGTTCTCGGTTGAGTTCCATTTTTCTAACGACTTGGTGACACTTAGAAATTCACTGTAGTGAGAACACTGCAAGTATTGTTGTGAATCTTTGAATTTAAGTTTACTAAAGAGTGAGGTGAAGATTAAGTACTGACGTTCGATCCCCGCGGCCTACTATGTTTCTATATGCAAAACTTACTACGTACTAACTGTTTGCTCACTGGGCTTGGTATTAAAGTTCACTTCCTTCTTCTTGAACACTACCAACCTGAATGACACATCTAATTTTCCCAATTGTAGGATTACAGTCACCTTCCATAGCTTTCAGCAACTTTCTATCCCAATCTAATAATTTAATTGCTTTAATACCAGTTTTTTTTAGATCTGTTTTTTTCTTCAATCTTGATTTCATGTTGTTAATTTTTTTTAATAGGCCTTTAATATCTTGTATTTTTGGAACTTGCGACTTTTGCAAAATAATGGGAGCAATGAAAATTTCATCTGCGTTGAACTGCAGGTCGTTGTCATTATTTTCAATAGTTTCCTCATCCCTTGAGGATGAAATGCTTATTAATTCGATAAAAAACTGTATTCAGTAAAAATACGGAACGGTCTGTGTAAGCTCTGGAGTACAACTGTCAGTGATGCTGAGTGAACGAACTCCCACTTCAACTACAAGCTGGAACAAGTCAGGACATGTAGCTCACGATACAAATACCAGTCGACCTTTTACTTCTTCTTGGAGGATATCCTCGCGAGTATAAGGTAATCATTATGAATATGAAAACAAGGATATGCTTATACTTCTACCTTTTTCTCCGAAGCAAGACCTTATACTTTTACCTTATGCTTCCGAGGATATGCGTCTCTTTTATGAATACGGCTCAATGTCTGAGTTACATTTTAATTGAAAAGCATTTCACATAGAGTAACCTACGAACCTGCACCTCACAAGCGAAATGTGGGTTGCTTACAGTTCTGGCAAATATCAACAAAACGACGCCAATCCTAACTTGGTCATGTTTCGTCAGTTATACCTTGTTCGAAACAAGAGCGTCTCCAGGGAAGGTAATAGGGGGCCAATTGCCCCCTCCTTTACCTAGCTCAGCAAAAATTGAATCGGGTGAATATTTTTTACAAAAGCTAAATTATTCATGTACAGAGTTCTCCACAAGCTCTACTGGAGGATAAATTACCAGGATTAGTTGAATTTGGTGTTGGAGAAAAAGAGAAAGACCTTAATTTTGTTATAAGCACTATACAGGGTGTTTCAAATTCGACCCTCACCTTTGAGATCTCGAAAACTGTAAGAGATACGAAGTCGCTTAGATGGAGGCAAAGTTGCGTATTTAGATAATCAATAAAATGCCGCTTAGAAAGTTTCGAAATTCAAAATAGTTCCGGAGAGTCTGAAAAAATCGAACTTTCGCAAAATCGTTTTAATTTTCTCTTGACTTTAATTGTAGTGGAATGTCAAAATAAATTGCACATCAACATTGCCACTTTTTCTCCTCTGCAAGACGGCATAATAAGGATTCAATATAACGTTTCGTCATTTGCGCTCCAGCATCAACTTTATTTTTTCTTATATAATATATTATATATAATATACAGGTTTGACTATAAGAGTGTTGGCGATTTAAATTTAATTTCTCGGAAACGCGGGGCGCGGGTTGGGCGGGGGATAAGCTGTTAGCCGCGCCGTTGCCTGGAAATTTAGTCGCCATGGAGCCGTACCCGGGAACGCAGCGTGCATTCTGTGTCCGAGCGTATTATGAAAACAATAACACGGTTATTACTGCACGAGGTTTGTATCGACATGAAGACGGTTTACGCGATTTAAGAGAAGTTCCAAGCACTAATGTGATACGAAAATGGATCAGAATGTTCGAAACAACCGCCTCGACAGTAGCAATGACAGCTCGTGGTCGTCCAGTTTCTGCAAGATCAGCCGACAATGTTGAGCGTGTTCGTGTTTCGGAATTTTGAAGCGAGATTTGCATTTGAATGCTTATAAGATTCAACTAGTCCAATAATTAAGACCAGATGATGCCAATAACCGATGCTCGACCGATTTAACAGTTTTAAAAACGTGATGTTTAGTGATGAGGCCAATTTTTACCTCAATGGCCATGTTAACAAACAAAATTGTCGGTTCTGGTCCTAAACTAATCCCCGTCGCTTGTATGAACGTCCACTTCACAGCCCTGAACTAGGTGTGTGGGCCGGAATTACGTCAACCGGTATTATGGGACCGTACTTTAATGAGGACGAAAGAGGGCAAGCGATGACTGTTAAAGCTAACAATTACTGCAATATGATAATAGACTTTTTGGTGCCAGCTTTGCAAGAACTCCAAGGCAATATCTCTAGAATGTGGTTTTAACAACATGGGGCCACATGTCATACAGCTAGGGTAACTATAGAGCTGCTGAAAAATGTCATTCCCGGAAAACTCATTTCGAAAAGAGGGGATATTTCTATAGGTAAATAAAAAATGGAACTTGAACTTGGACAGTTTGAAAAGTTAAAGTATTTCGGAATTCACAACAAAAATTTTAAAATATCCACATTGTATACAAATTTCAAACAAATTACAATTCATCTATCAGTTTGTTAAAGTTGTACCATCTTTGATGTCTTCATTATTACCCTTAAATAATAAAAGTGAGTCATGTTGTTCCTCATTCGATGAGCTTATATCAACTATATGAAGTTAAGTACTTCCAGTCATATATAAATGGGTAACATGTTATCATCTTTGAGATCCTATGAAATAAATCACTGTGATTATTTCAAGGCTTTCTAAGCAAACATTTCTATGCAAAAATGTCGTACATAAGAAAAATCAAAATAAGTCGGGGGATAGGAGACGAGAAATCATGTTGATGTTCTATTTATACCACCTTGCAGGGATCAAAGAGTGACAATATCATATTTTGAAATCCTAATCTCTAGTGATACTGGAAACGTCAAAACTTTTCAAATGCATTCTCTAAAACTATAAATACAAATACGCAACTCGGTCACCATTCAACAGACCCGTACCTCGTATCGTTTCTGAAATTAGAACGGTGAAAAAATGGCAAATTTGTTTTTCAAATCATTCTAGAACAAACTGGGTACATATCCTTCTAGATATGCTATAAAACTATTTTTGGCTATAGCAAAATTGCAATTGTGGAAAAACAGTGAAAAAATATCGACAAAGACAAATTATTAGTTCAATATGCTATATCTCCAGCTTTTGTTGTCATGTCGGTATAAATCTCCCTATACGGAGCGGTATATTCCAAGTAAAGTAGTGGAGGTATTGTACAATTGAGGCGTGTTTTACAAAAACCGCATAAGTCCAAATTTAGCGAGATTGAGTTAGTGACACCTACTAGTACAAAAAAGGATGTCTTTAAGACCACCAAAGAAGGTTCTGCAAAAACGACATAAATGCTAGATTTAAGTAGTCAAAATTTCGAGGTTTCCGCAAAAAGCACATATTTATGTCCCTGGCTGTTGATCCAAATACCGCACAAGTCCGCGACAGGATAGGAAATGTGTGTGTGCTTTTTGCTGGAAATTTATTCTAGTTTTATATAATCATTTTGTTCTTTTTTAAAATAAAAAAACTTTTTCTCTTATAAAAACAACTTATGTCCATATCCACATATCTTTTTTAGCGAAGATCATATTTTTTAAGCTATTATTAATAGTAATTAACAAAAAAGTCTTACAGAAAATTATTAGTTTTGAAATAAATCGTTTTTTCTGTTTCCTGAAAATGTTGTACTTTGGACATTATGTTGTTTTTCTAAAACACGCCTCAATTACATACTAAAAACTGACCTTGTGTAATATCTGGTTTGTTGCAGAAGTTACGTCGCTCAATAGCTTGAGCATTTTTACAGATTTTTCGATGTTAATCACAACATTCGCTTTAAATTTTTCCTAGTATTTCATATTTACTCTTATGCACTTTTGGGCAAAAAATTAACGATTATTTGCGATAACCGGGACATGCCCATTAGTTGTCATTTTAGAGGTGTTTCCATCCCACTCCCAATTCTTCTATAGACTTTGAACTGTGAAGCTTGATAAAAAAGTTACCTAGAATTTTTTTATTTCGAGCTGTAGGGCCTTTGCATTCACTCTAATATACGCTCAGACCCGTCGATTTTGTTTTCGAGGGGCACAAGATTGGCAAAAAATCATGTTAACACGTGCAGCCCCCTGGGCGGGGCTGACACCAACCGTAAAATCTTAAATGGAAAGGGGGGTCGAGTGACACCTTAGATCAAAGGTCTTTCAATTCCCTTTATAATGATGTAAAATACACGAGCTTCAGTTCAGTAGTTTGAAGATTTATTGATTTAAAGCTTAAAGTAGGCTTTAATAGGTACATCACATTAGTTTGTACGTCTTTCATAAGAAATTTGACTAAAAGAATGGTTTGTTTATCATTTTGTTGTTGAAAATAGCTATTGGAGCGTTTTTTTGTGGCAAAAAAGTTATTTCTTGAAGAAAGATAAGGCAATATCTCGTACTTATTTTAAATAGGAATTTAGTTCATAGTTTGCGATTGATTTGACTAAACTTTGTTGCTAAAATAACTTGTAACGCTTATAAATTAACCATGGTATATTGCACAGTAGAAAGAGTTGGCATTATCGAAATATTTTTCGGAAATAATCAGTGCGCTAATGGAACAGCAGAAATATTTAATGAGCGACATGAGAACAGTAACGTGCATCGAAAATATGCTCTAGAACTTGTAGCTAAATTTCCGGAAACTGGGTCAGTCGCCAATAAAAAACGCAACATTGAAAGTCCCATAAGGAACTAAGCAATAGAAGTGGGGTCTTTAGGGCAAGTTTATGTAGATCCTACGTTAAGTACCCGCAAATTGGAGACTGTGTGTGGTGTTAGTCGACGTACTGTCCAACGGATTCTAAAGGCCCATAGTTTTCATCCGTATAAAATTCACCTGGTGCAAGACGATTTTGATCGGCGATTACAATTTTGTGAAGATATGAGTGAACGAATTGTAAACGATGAACATTTTATATTCAACACTTGCTTTTCCGACGAATGTTCCTTTTTCTTAAATGGTGTATTAAATCGTCATAACTGCAGATATTGGTCCGATTCTAATCCCAGAATGTATCATGAGGTTCATACACAGCAGCCACAAAAATTAAATGTTTGGGCTGGTATTTCTGGCGATCATTTAGTTGGTCCTTTTTTCTTACCTGGAAATTTGACCGGTGAAATGTATTTGGAATTACTGGAAGGCGCCATAGATCCTGCATTAACAGCCATAATTTAAAATCAGAATGATCGGCGGTACATTGCGAATAGGTTGATGTTCCAACAGGATGGTGCCTCACCATATTACGCATTACGTGTTCGACAATATTTAGATCAGACATTTCCAGATCGATAGATTGGTAGAAGAGGTGCCATTGAATGGCCCCCAAGATCGCCAGATTTATCACCTTTGGATTTCTTTATGTGGGGTCATTTAAAAAGCAAAATCTATGCTACTCAGCCAACATCGTTAAAAGACCTGCGACAAAGAATTGTGAATGAGTGCCTTCAAATTACTCCTCAAATATTGCAAAATATGCGTTAACGTTTTGAGCAAAATCTTTATTATTGCATGGAGAATCATGGTGGCCATTTCAATATTTACTTGCCTAACGGGTCAGTTCAGCCTTTTTTAAATTACTTTGCTGCCAAATGTATTGATCTCCACTAATGATGATGTATGAGTTTTATTTAAGCTTTAAATCAATACTACTACTGAACTGAAGTACATTATTTTATATCATTATAAAGGGAGTTGAGAGACCTTTAAAATAAGGTATTGCTCGACCCCCTTTCCCCCCCCCCCCTAAGCGGGGGTGACACCACCCCCCCCAAGAGCTCTGATCCACTCGATCAGAGCTTTTATCAAGTTTTTAGTTGGTTCAGTGAGTTTTGTGAGAAGTATTTGTTCCAAGGTAATTAAAAGCAATAATTTTATTCAATATTTCACTGTAAATCATTGAAATTAAGAGAGCTTTGACATCTTCCATCAAATTGCATTTGGATAAGCTGTTCCCTTATTGGTCCGTCTAATTTAAATCTTGGTGTATTCCACCCTTACGTATTACTTATTCTTTCTTTTTATGTCTGTCATTATATCGGATTTACTTTGCACTGTAGTTACATAGACATAAGTATTGATTTCAGCAGCGGTGGCCGCAGTAGTAGACTCTTCGGTCTCCTGATCAGTCGCCGTGCGCTGTGCGGGTTCGAGTCCCGTCCCAGGAGAAATTTTTCTCTTGTCTATGGATGTTGTGATTGTCCGTAGGTGGTAGACGGTCTCTGACTGTCGAACGCAGAGGTACCACCCGGCGGATCTCGTACGCGGAGCCAGAATGTGTGCATGTTGCATGCACACGTGTTCCCTCGCCAGAGTCCCTGTGGCGTTCCGCCTTTCCCATGTATCCCCCTATAGCCCCACGGTACCCAATGGGGGCTTAGGCCTTAGGCCTTCGTGGTGGTTTTAGTATAAAAAAAATCATAACAAAGGGAATTGAAAGACCTTTAAAATAAGGTATCACTCGACCCCCCTTTCCATTTGAGATTTTTCAAGAAAAAAACTGAGATGCCAGTAAATGCGTCTGTTTCGTTTTCGATGCGCCACCCTTTATAAGTCCTCCGGTGCAATTTCTTTTACAACAGGGTTCACATTAACTTGTCTAGTTAGCTTGACCAAATAAGTTTTGTAACGTTTCTAGATGTTTTACAAAAACCGCATAAGTCCAAATTTAGCGAGATTGAGTTAGTGACACCTACTAGTACAAAAAAAGGATGTCTTTAAGACCACCAAAGAAGATTCTGCAAAAACGACATAAATGCTAGATTTAAGTAGTCAAAATTTCGAGGTTTCCGCAAAAAGCACATATTTATGTCCCTGGCTGTTGATCCAAATACCGCACAAGTCCGCGACAGGATAGGAAATGTGTGTGTGCTTTTTGCTGGAAATTTATTCTAGTTTTATATAATCATTTTGTTCTTTTTTAAAATAAAAAACTTTTTCTCTTATAAAAACAACTTATGTCCATATCCACATATCTTTTTTAGCGAAGATCATATTTTTAAGCTATTATTAATAGTAATTAACAAAAAAGTCTTACAGAAAATTATTAGTTTTGAAATAAATCGTTTTTTTCTGTTTCCTGAAAATGTTGTACTTTGGACATTATGTTGTTTTTCTAAAACACGCCTCAATTACATACTAAAAACTGACCTTGTGTAATATCTGGTTTGTTGCAGAAGTTACGTCGCTCAATAGCTTGAGCATTTTTACAGATTTTTCGATGTTAATCACAACATTCGCTTTAAATTTTTCCTAGTATTTCATATTTACTCTTATGCACTTTTGGGCAAAAAATTAACGATTATTTGCGATAACCGGGACATGCCCATTAGTTGTCATTTTAGAGGTGTTTCCATCCCACTCCCAATTCTTCTATAGACTTTGAACTGTGAAGCTTGATAAAAAAGTTACCTAGAATTTTTTTATTTCGAGTTGTAGGGCCTTTGCATTCACTCTAATATACGCTCAGACCCGTCGATTTTGTTTTCGAGGGGGCACAAGATTGGCAAAAAATCATGTTAACACGTGCAGCCCCCTGGGCGGGGCTGACACCAACCGTAAAATCTTAAATGGAAAGGGGGGTCGAGTGACACCTTAGATCAAAGGTCTTTCAATTCCCTTTATAATGATGTAAAATACACGAGCTTCAGTTCAGTAGTTTTGAAGATTTATTGATTTAAAGCTTAAAGTAGGCTTTAATAGGTACATCACATTAGTTTGTACGTCTTTCATAAGAAATTTGACTAAAAGAATGGTTTGTTTATCATTTTGTTGTTGAAAATAGCTATTGGAGCGTTTTTTTGTGGCAAAAAAGTTATTTCTTGAAGAAAGATAAGGCAATATCTCGTACTTATTTTAAATAGGAATTTAGTTCATAGTTTGCGATTGATTTGACCAAACTTTGTTGCTAAAATAACTTGTAACGCTTATAAATTAACCATGGTATATTGCACAGTAGAAAGAGTTGGCATTATCGAAATATTTTTCGGAAATAATCAGTGCGCTAATGGAACAGCAGAAATATTTAATGAGCGACATGAGAACAGTAACGTGCATCGAAAATATGCTCTAGAACTTGTAGCTAAATTTCCGGAAACTGGGTCAGTCGCCAATAAAAAACGCAACATTGAAAGTCCCATAAGGAACTAAGCAATAGAAGTGGGGTCTTTAGGGCAAGTTTATGTAGATCCTACGTTAAGTACCCGCAAATTGGAGACTGTGTGTGGTGTTAGTCGACGTACTGTCCAACGGATTCTAAAGGCCCATAGTTTTCATCCGTATAAAATTCACCTGGTGCAAGACGATTTTGATCGGCGATTACAATTTTGTGAAGATATGAGTGAACGAATTGTAAACGATGAACATTTTATATTCAACACTTGCTTTTCCGACGAATGTTCCTTTTTCTTAAATGGTGTATTAAATCGTCATAACTGCAGATATTGGTCCGATTCTAATCCCAGAATGTATCATGAGGTTCATACACAGCAGCCACAAAAATTAAATGTTTGGGCTGGTATTTCTGGCGATCATTTAGTTGGTCCTTTTTTCTTACCTGGAAATTTGACCGGTGAAATGTATTTGGAATTACTGGAAGACGCCATAGATCCTGCATTAACAGCCATAATTTAAAATCAGAATGATCGGCGGTACATTGCGAATAGGTTGATGTTCCAACAGGATGGTGCCTCACCATATTACGCATTACGTGTTCGACAATATTTAGATCAGACATTTCCAGATCGATAGATTGGTAGAAGAGGTGCCATTGAATGGCCCCAAGATCGCCAGATTTATCACCTTTGGATTTCTTTATGTGGGGTCATTTAAAAAGCAAAATCTATGCTACTCAGCCAACATCGTTAAAAGACCTGCGACAAAGAATTGTGAATGAGTGCCTTCAAATTACTCCTCAAATATTGCAAAATATGCGTTAACGTTTTGAGCAAAATCTTTATTATTGCATGGAGAATCATGGTGGCCATTTTCAATATTTACTTGCCTAACGGGTCAGTTCAGCCTTTTTTAAATTACTTTGCTGCCAAATGTATTGATCTCCACTAATGATGATGTATGAGTTTTATTTAAGCTTTAAATCAATACTACTACTGAACTGAAGTACATTAATTTTATATCATTATAAAGGGAGTTGAGAGACCTTTAAGATAAGGTATTGCTCGACCCCCTTTTCCATTTAAGATGACACCACCCCCCAAAAGCTCTGATCCACTCGATCAGAGCTTTTATCGAGTTTTTAGTTGGTTCAGTGAGTTTTGTGAGAAGTATTTGTTCCAAAGTAATTAAAAACAATAATTTTATTCAATATTTCACTGTAAATCATTGAAATTAAGAGAGCTTTGACATCTTCCATCAAATTGCATTTGGATAAGCTGTTCCCTTATTGGTCCGTCTAATTTAAATCTTGGTGTATTCCACCCTTACGTATTACTTATTCTTTCTTTTTATGTCTGCCATTATATCGGATTTACTTTGCACTAGTTACATATACATAAGTATTGATTTCAGCAGCGGTGGCCGCAGTAGTAGACTCTTCGGTCTCCTGATCAGTCGCCGTGCGCTGTGCGGGTTCGAGTCCCGTCCCAGGAGAAATTTTTCTCTTATCTATGGATGTTGTGATTGTCCGTAGGTGGTAGACGGTCTCTGACTGTCGAACGCAGAGGTACCACCCGGCGGATCTCGTACGCGGAGCCAGATTGTGTGCATGTTGCATGCACACGTGTTCCCTCGCCAGAGTCCGTGTGGCGTTCCCCCTTTCCCATGTATCCCCCTATAGCCCCACGGTACCCAATGGGGGCTTAGGCCTTAGGCCTTCGTGGTGGTTTTAGTATAAAAAAAATCATAACAAAGGGAATTGAAAGACTTTTAAAATAAGGTATCACTCGACCCCCCTTTCCATTTGAGATTTTTCAAGAAAAAAACTGAGGTGCCAGTAAATGCGTCTGTTTCGTTTTCGATGCGCCACCCTGTATAAGTCCTCCGGTGCAATTTCTTTTACAACAGGGTTCACATTAACTTGTCTAGTTAGCTTGACCAAATAAGTTTTGTAACGTTTCTAGATAACATATAGGTGGCAGATCACAGTGTGTACAACTGAAGAATGAAATATCTAGTTCAAAGCCCACTACCACAGGTGTACCGCAAGGATCTATACTTGGACCATTGCTCTTCACTATATATACCAGTCAGATCCTTAAATGTTTGGAATTCTGTAAGTCACACATTTATGCGGATGATACCCAGCTGTACTATTCTTTTCCTAGTTCAGATTGGCCAGCTGCCGAGTTGAAAATAAACAGTGACTTGAATAACCTCTCTAAAAGATTGCAAGAGCATTCATTAATATTACATCCAAATAAATCAGCTGCTGTGATCTTTGGTAAAGACCGTTCTTATGTGATTGAGAATTTAAATATAACCATAAATAATATTAGATTAAAGTACTGTGATAAAGTTAAAACTTAGGCTTAACAATGGATTATAATCTGAGGTTTCGTGAGTACATATCAAACTGTATCAAAAAATCTTATCTAGCTCTAAAATTATTATATCCTCACCGAAATTTTCTCAATTTAGACATCAAAAGAATTCTTTGCGAAACCTTGGTTTTATCACAGTTTTCGTACTGTGTTCCAATTTATTCTGCATGTTTAGATTGTGATACATTCATGCGAATACAGAGAACACAGAACTCATGCATACGTTTTATATATGGCATAAGAAAATTTGAAAGAGTTAGTCATAAGCTGAAAGAACTCCGGTGGCTAAATATGAAGGCTCGTTTTGAGATATTCACAATATGCTTTTATCATAAAGTTTTAACTCTCAGGCAGCCGCATTACCTCTACGAGAAAATAACATTCAGAAAAGACATCCATTCCGTAAATATTCGTTCGAAACAAAACATTACCGCTCCATTCCACAGAACTAAATTTTATGAAAGATCATTTACGTATAATATATATAAGCTATACAATCCTATCCCTCAGTACCTCAAATCATATGAAATTCACAAGTTCAAAGCGGTTTTGCGTGATTCTTACCTTGAATGTATAAAGTAGAATTATTCTTACTGCGGAATTTCAATTTTATTTTGTTTGCATTCCATTATTTTATTTATATTTTTTTTTTCATATGATGCATAAATGTACGTATATGTATTTGTATATCATTCTAGACTTTTATATTTACCACCACGTTTTCTCTTTGCTCTGTTTTTCAAACTTAATTGTCGCTCATATTGGCGTTTGTTTATGCGGTATGTATGGGTATATATGTATATATGTATATATATATATATATCTGTATATATATATATATATATATATTATTCTAGACTTTCTTTTTTTTAAATCTATTACCACATGTCTCACTTTTCTATCTTATTTTTTTTTTAAAAACTTACATGCTGTTCATATTGATGTTTTTATATGGTTGATGGATGTATTTACTGGCATAATGTTTCTTACAATTCCAAGGGATGAGTGGAAGAGCACTAGATAGTGAACTCCCCCTTGTGGTTTTCAGACAGTCGACATTTGTTTTATTTATTTTTTTTTTATATTTTCCTTTTTTTTTGGTTAATACTCATGTTTCTCTTTCTGATTTTTTTTTTTTGAAAACTGTTTGGAAATAAAGGCATTTATTATTATTATTATTATTATTATTATTATTATTATTATTATTATATTGCAACAGCTGTTACCCAATTTTTACTATCTACCACTTAGTGCACATGGTCCTCAAGCTTTCCATTTCTATTTCCAAGTCTCTGTGGATATGGACTCCCCCATCTCCCCCTGCGGCGGAACCTTCAAGTCGCTGTCAATATCACCATTACTGCACATATATCGCGTCATCATAAATAATTGAACATCCAGGACCAAGCTGTCGCTTTTGCTGAATAATACAGGATACGGCGGGTTTTCGGTTCAGTCCGCAGTTGAAATAATAATGTGTTTACTGTGGTATGTTTTACGTAACACAAATTGATGGCCCTGTGGCTGTTATCGAGAGGAAATACGGGTATCCAGTGCTGTACTATTGCGTAAATGAATAGTCTCGGGCAATAAGGTACGTAAGCCACATTTGAATAGAAATTGATCTGTGGCGTCGGAGTATCTGCACGGTGTCGCAGAAGTCGACATCAAGGTTTTAAAAAATCCGAAAAATCTACAATCTGTGATGATCTTTTAGTTCCCATTATTACAAATTTCAATTTTTTCTTGACGAAGTGATGGACAGTGTCATTCTACATAGTGGTAGCAAGACAGTCACGCCACTTTTATTAAATCGTGATTGTATTTATTACAGTCACAATAAATGTTAAAACTACCTTCCTCCAGCAGCAATGCAAACTTGACATCTTAAAAATGATCGGGTTATCGGGCGGGCGAATCATTCGTTATTATCAGATTCAGCTGCTTCCGTTATACTGTTCCGTAGCTCAGCTAAGTTTTTGATTGGCTTTGAGTTACCATTTTCTTTCACCACTCCCCAGTAAAAAAATCTAGTGGATTTAAGTCAGGTTAACGGGCTGGCGATGAAATTGCGAATCTGCTGGGGTATTCCGCATCAATATATTCTCTAACTGAATTTCGCCTTTCAAGAGCTCTGGCAACTCAAAGGGTTAAAGTATTTTCCCATTCAAAATCGCAGTCTACCTGTTTACTTTAAAACGACGTAAGCTAGAAGGTCTCCCGTGGTTCGTTGGTGCCGGAAACCATACTGCCTGTCGTTAATCAAGCTGTGACCTACGAGGTAGTCCAGAAGCTCGATATTTATGAACCTCTCCACCACTTTACTTATAACAGCAAACAGAGCTCTGGCCTGTAGTTGTAAGCGTCAGTCTTAGAGACTTTTTTTGGGATGGGTTGGACATTAGCAAATTTCCAGTCTTCTGCTGGAAGGTGCGGGATTCCTAAGATATCTTAAAGAGACTCGAAAGAACTGGAGCAAGCTCCGCTGCACACCTCTTCAGCACAATGGCAGGAATCAAGTCCGGACTAGAAGCTTTGTTGATGTCGAGCGACAAGAGCACTCATATTAAAATCTTATGCCTGAATGTTATCTCCTATATAGTGTAGGGAACCCTTCGCATTGACGGCACTTGGGCGTTGGGGGGGGGGGGAGACGTCCATGGTGGAGTTGGCAGCAAAGATCTTGACTAGCACTTCCGCCTTGGCCTTTGGGTGGAAGACAATCGCTACACACTGACACGTAGGTGGTGGAAGGCTCCTTGAGAGAAATTCTTTTCAATCTGCTTGGCAAGCGTCCAGAAAGATCGATTGCCATTGCGCTGCGACATTACTCTGTGCCTAACTTTTATATCGTGCTGGTTTTTGGCATTGCGAACTACTTCGTTATATTTGTTTCTGGACTCGACGTCGGCTTGTCTGTTCTCTACAGTGGGATTTGTATGTAATGCCACGTTTTGCGGCCTGTACGAGTTTCTGCTGCCACAGCGAGTAGTGACCGAAACCTAACTTCCATAACACCGTGGTCTGAGTTAGCCAGGGGGGCAGGACACCAGTTCTGTAAGGGATAGGATGCGTGGTCAAAAAGAGATCCAGCAGGCTACTGGTGTGTGACGAGACGCGGGGGAAACAAGTCAGCAGCTGGTTTAGCGCTTGAGTAAAAGCGAACGCTTCGACTGCACGACCTGCTGCCTCGGTCTTGTTTGAGCCCAACCAAAGCTCCTTATGGGCAGTTAAATCACCGAGAAGAACTACCTCTGAAGCGGGGTGATTGACGTTCAGGATCTCGATCTTGACCGCAAGGTATTCAAGTAGGTCATCCCAATTGTGGTCCGAGGGAGAGCGATAAAGGCAGCAAATAAATTTGGGTGATGTTTTGGAGTTGAGGCGAAGCCACAGAATGTCTTTCCGGTCTGATTCCAAAGAAACATATCTGGAGCAGAAAAGCCACAACTCTCCCGTTCTTTCTCAGACTGGAGTGCATTTGGTAGTTTGAGAAGTTGAGATGGTTAACCGGTGTAGACTCTGAGATTTGTGTCTCCGCCAAGGAAAGCATGGCGAGACGAAAATAAATTTTATCTTCGATGTTGTTCCCTCGAGCCCACCCTCCACCCGGACACTCCGAGAGTGGAGTGATTCTACGTCCGGAATTCTTAGTAGTCGAGGGATCCATCATCATTAATTTCTCTGTTTTGGAAGATAACCGACTACATAGCTTAGGTGTGGAAACATGCGAACATTTATAAGACACCCTGGGAAAAGCTAGCCGGTGGTACCGCCTCGGTCGACTGGTCCTTGTCTAGCACCTTCTTTCTACATGTTAGTGATATTAAATAGACCTAAAGTGGACCATTGGCGGACTTGTACCGCCACCCGGCAATCGGTACTGAGGTATTCCTTAACGCGTGTACAATCACTTGAACGGAAAGAAGTTGTATACTGGTTACAATAACTTCTGGAATAAGCATTTGCCACGGTCTCGCTCAGTAGGGTAAGCCTTTCATTGATTTCAAAGTTCTTCTCATTCCGTCACGTCAGCAGTTCCCTATACAGAGTGTTTTATTGGGAGCGAGAAATATTCTACTATTTAAACAATATTTTTTCGTAAACTAAGCTATTTAAACTAATTGAGCAGTTACATAAAACAGGTACATGGTTTACTTTCAATTAAACTGGTTCCAGAAAATTCAGTTTAATTAAACTAAATAGTTAGTATAATTTGAAAAATTCTTACGGGTAATGAAAATGTTCCGAAATAACACTGTTTTATTGACCACTTTTTCTCAGTGTATGTAAGATTTTAATCTTTTTCAAATCAGTCTTATGGATAGCGGCTAAAAGTAACCTGCAAAACATAATGGATGA